GCCATGATTTGTATAAACAAACAAAAGAAATCAACGTTAACCTAAAAGAACTTTTCCAAAAATATAGTTTTCCATTTTTTGGAAAACTACTACAAAAAAAATATTTGCCTGATTTGAAGTGGGTTTCCTTTCCTCTGCAGCATCTCCGTTTCCAATGACCAATAACGATTTTTATGCTAATCAGTGCAAAGAGTCAAGTAGTAGTGTTTGTTTTGAGTGTTGTTATAAGTTATTCGATAAATGGTGGAGTTTTTTTGAGGAGTGAAGGATATTTTATCTAATTCCCCCATAAATTGATAGATAAATTGGTGCTGATAATTCTTAAAGTTTTTAGTTGGCCAGATAAGTAGGCAGACCTAATAAATTTAACAGGCCTAAATTATATTTTGGAGTGGTGTTTTTAAGGGAAATTGTAAATGATATTTGCTTTGTTAAATAAAAGCACCTACAATTCAAAGGACAATAAGGGTTGACCAAATGTAATATACGCTAATCTGGTACGCTGTGCAAAATTTGTTCTTAATCGGACAATCAAAATTGGATTGGACAAATATAATTGGACAAAATAAATGATCTGTGCCAAATTTCATCCGATTCGAAATATAAATGTGACTAAAACTTTTCAAACTTTAAGGCAATATTATTAAAAAGAAGTTAATTACAATGTGTATTCTTATAAAAATAATTAAAAATATTAGGTTTTTAGAAGATTGATAGAAAAATATGAAAAAAAGTACCTTCGGCATTTTAACGTGGGGCAAATTCGGCTGTATACAGATAGTGTCATATTATTTCCTTAAATCTATTTGAATTTGTCTTTAAAAATAACCAAACGTTCTTGTATTGTCGAAAATGCTATAGAAAACCAGTAAGGAAAGTTGTAAAGTCGGACGGGGCCGACTATATGATACCATTCACCACTTTGGGTATATTCAACAGATGAATCCTAACAGACGTCGAATTCTTGAAGGAACATTAACATGAAAATGGGTCCATAACCCTATACTAAATTTTGCATTTGGACAGATAAAGGGTTGCTTCTTACAATGGGACAAAATTATGTAAATCAATTTAAAGCATACTAATTTCAGTATGTTTTATGCATATCGGCCACATTTTGAGTTCTTGGTGCATCATATACTTAATATCGGGAGAAAATATATCCAAATTTGAGCCGATTTCAAAACTTTCCACACGCTAAGTTATATTAACTTCAGTACGTTGTGCAAAATGTTGCTTAAATCGGCCTACCTTGCACCTTTTATTTAAAATCTGACGAAATAATATATAGGAGCTATATCTAAATCTAAACCCATTTCACCTAAACGTGCCACACGTTATGTTATAGTAACTTCAGTACGTAGTGCAAAATTTTGTGCCGACTGGACCCACCATTGTGAAGCATTTATATCCAACTTCTAGCTTATACTAACTTCAGTACGTTGTGCATAATTTGTGTAAATTTTGAGTAAAATCGAAAATGTATATGTAGAAGTTATATCACAATCTGAACCAATTTCAATGAGACTTGCCAGAGATTAACTTATATTAACTACAGGTCATTGTACAAAATTGTGTGACATTCAGACAAACTTTGGGTCTTTATTGCACAATCGGAAAAAAACAAATAGAAACTATTTCTACATCTGTACCGATTTTCAAGAGACTCAGCACACATCATTCTAAACCTAATTTATTACGCTATGCCAAATTTCGTGCAAATCGAAAGATATATATGGACATCGTTACACCATTTACATTAAATCGGACGAAAATATGTATGAGAGCTATATTTAAATCTCGACCGATTTTCAGGAAACTTAACACACATTATTCTAGACCTAATTTACACTATACCAAATTTCGCAAATCGAAAGATATATAGGGACTTTGGTGCACCATTTACATTAAATCGGACGAAAATATATATGGGAGCTATATTTAAATCTGAACCGATTTCAGGAAACTTAACACACATCTTTCTAGACCTAATTCATTACGCTGTGCCAAATTTCGTGCAAATCGAAATATATATAGGGACTATAATACACCATTTACCTTAAATCGGACGAAAATATATATGGGAGCTATAACTAAATCTGAACCGATTTTTCCTAATTTCAATAGGGTTCGTCATTGGGCCAAATAAGTGACCTATGGCAAATTTCATCCAAATCGGATCATAAATGCGACCTGTACTTTGTTCACAAAAATACATGGACGGACGGACAGACGGACATGCGTAAATCGACTCAGAAAGTGATTCTATGCATATGAAGGGTATAAAAACTATTTCTGATGGAGTATGTGGTCTTGAGACGTCAACGTCCGCCTTTAGAAAATATAGCCTTAAAAATCATTCTTTAAAGGGTCTGAATTCCAACCAGACTGATAGCGGTGATAATTACCAGGATATGACTATGGTGCCGGCCCATCAAATGCCGAAGCTAACCCGGGTAGGGGTACTATCTCGTTTCCCGTGCTAACATTTTCACAAAATGTACCACAGTGCGGTGTAGGGTATATACAAGGCCCTATATTATAAATTGGTAGCCAGTAGACTTTCTATTCTCCGGAAAAGTCGACCTTCAACATAACGATACTAATTGAGCAAGACCTATATATGCGACCTTATATATCATTGTCTAAACTCCGAAAAAACAATTTTACCCATATCACTTGGAAAATGAGATAGAACTTTCAAAATTCCTAAAATGGGGCTGAACGTCTATGGAGGCTATGTGAAACATTTTTCTACATTGAATAATTTGGTCGATGATGTGTTTTACCCAGTTACTAGGGGGCTATTATATGGGCGACTCTTTAAAAAACTGACATACCATTTTTTTTTCAATCAAATAAAATTACATTTTTTTCTTCTTCATTTTTTGTAAAACATATCTTCCATCTATCTTGAATACTTCTGCATCTTTTTGTAAATTTTTCTTAAACCGTAAACTAAATACCATAAGACGAAATATGTTGGTCTCTTTAAATATTCCAGGAAAATATGTCGTACATACGATTTTAAATAAGGACCTCAAAGACAAACAATTGATATTTGCATGTTTTCATTGTCCATTTCCACTTTTACCCGATCCTTACTCAGAAAACCTTATATATATATGAACGCTAATAAATTTTGAATAAATTTTACATTGTGAAGCACACGTTACTAATTTTTTTCCCAGGAGAAATCGGGTTTTCAAATAACGAATCCGATGATTAAGATTACTAATAAACCGATTAATGTCATATGTTAACTAAATTCTGGGTTAAAAGAGAACTATTTTTGACCACTTTTTAGACTTTGAGCGATTCTATTGATATAGCACCGGATCCACTTAACTAAATTAGCTCGGGCCGAGAGTTATACCCTGCACCATGGGCATTTATTATGCCTAAAATCCATCGCGATTTTTTTAAGTAGACTATGCCCTGCGTAAATTGCTTTCAGAAGAAAACGAAATAATAAACTACTAACACGCAGGTTTAAAAATTAGGCAATAATACCACTATAAGAACCCAATATACCACATTACAGCCAATTCAGTTATAAATGTGCCCAAAATTCTCAAAACTCAAAAATTTCATATTAAACATGCACGAAAAAAATCTTATATTATATGAATAGTATTAAGAATGTTTTGTCAATGTCCGGATTTCTGCATTTTATGCATACAATTCATAAAACATTAAACACTGGTTAATTGGTGGCGGGTTTTCTAATGCACAGAAACTATTTGTCTTTTTAGTTTTCTATTTTGATTTTATTGTTTTTACTTTGTTTTGTCTTCTCTCGATCGTTCTTATTTATTTGGCATTTATATCGAAATAATTTGGAAAATATATATGCGAATTTTATAAACCAATCAATAGGTCCGTAGGAGTGTCTGAAGTATACAAACAATGGAATGCAAACTAGGCACAAACGAGTGAGTGGAGAGACCACGGCTGTAAACGAGAGAAACAGTAGACAATATAACGGTTTGCAAAACTAACAACCTCAACGTGAGGGGAGAGACAGAGGACGATACCAAAACAAAACACAGTCGAACAATGATTGGTGGTGGCATTTTTATTGGGTTGAATAATTTTTTTTTTTGTTAAGAGAGAGAGAAATAAGCGCAAATAGTGGTAAAGTAGAACGAAGCATGAAAACAGTTGTGATATTAATGAAATGTTTGCACTTTTCGGAAAAAACAGTAACTTAAAGAATTTTAAAGAATTGCGATGTACATGAACAATATGGGGAAATAACCAATGAATGAAGTTATGAAAACATTAATCAGCACTTTTTTTCTGTGTACTAAGAGAAGTAGCAATGTATGTGAGAAATTTCCGACTCTATCTAAAATATTGCAAACTCGATCATGGTGACAACAGAAGACCGGACATGCTTAAATTCACTCCACTTTATCGCGGAACGTATTTGAGACTTATTTCAAATCCTGGATCAATAAATACCATTTTCTATAGCAATGTCTGTTCAAGGGTCTATCGTGATTTCAACAGACAATTCGTCATGGCCAAAACAATTTCATTCTGGTGTGTATATCCTATGGTTTAGGTTTTTTGGAAACGTTTATAATTTTGTACTGATATATAATATAATCCGATCCGATATAATCCGATCAAATCAAACCGCAATCCAGTTCATATCAAGATGTATTGTTACTTCTTTGAACCTCGGAGCATTGTCCAAGGAGAACATTTTCTAAAATAACTCTCCCACACCCAATGAATAACCTTTTCATTTCCCTGATTTCCATATTCACTTTAAATTTTTTGATATGAGGCGACATACTCGAAGCATCTCAAAAACTGGTCGGAGCAATGCGTAGTATTCAAAAATTATGGACCAAAATAAAAATATAATTCCTTTCAAAACCACTCAAATCCACAAAAATATATTCTCCTTTGGTATGTGCCTAATAAAACTTATTGTTATTTATAAAAATTTGTAACACAAACATCCATTTACACATTCCTTTAAAATGTAACTTAAATTTCACCAAGCGGATTACCCAACCAGGGATAGACTTCAGGGCATTTATCACATACGGTCATGTAACGCATTTCACCCGTAGATTGTTTGGCTAGGCCACATGTTACTGGTTTGCAGGAGCTTTGAGGTTTTTTAAAGCAACCCCTAAAGGGTTTACCCAAACTGGGATGTTTCATGTATTGGATGACGGCAGAGGGAGTTGTGATGTAGACATCCGGCAATGAGTTGGCATATTCCAAAAATCTATAAAAGCAAAACAAAAAGGAAATAATTAATCTGAAAAATATTTAAAGAGGATTCGTTTAACTTACTTCCTAAAAGCCTTAAAATAATTCGGGCTACGTCCAAACCATGCTGCATGCAAATACATACCAAATGGCGCCCGATTGCCTTCATAATGCCGTTGAAAATTACTTTTCATCCATTCAAAGAGGCTGTCAACATTATCGGGTGGCAAGAATATACAACCATCTAACATTGAACAACTATAGCCTTCATTATCTACCCATGTGACCATGGGATTTATCCATAGGCCTGGTAGTGAGACCGTGGGACAGGGAGTTATTTGACAATCTTGCAAGGATAAATAATCCAAAGTGTAAGGCCACATGGCGGGGTTGCGATATTGTTGCGTCGGCCATGAACTATCGTAGAGTAAGCCCAATCTCTTCGCAGCAATGAAGGAATTATTTCCTGAAATTTGTAAGAAAGGTAAACGCATTCCACGAATATGACGCCGATCGATTTTTGCAAATGTCTCCAGAATATCAATTTGTTGACCAAATTCTTGCATTAACAGTTCCACATCGGCATTACGCCAGTAATCTGTTCCCGCACCATGGGTTATTGAGTGTAGGGCTATTTCATGGCCCTCATTATAGAGGGCATTGACTTTACTGTAGTCTGTATATTCGTGAGAGACATAAAAACAACCACGGGCCTCACAGTGATCTGGGTTTCTGAGATTTGCAAATAACTCCTGATATTGTTCATAATTCAGCACGGTCACAGCATCATCAAAGGTAACTGTAATGAACTGGAAAAATAAATAATATTAATTTAAAATATTTTATAAAAAATACAAGACAAAGTTTTGCAACGCCAAATTTAGCTCTGATTGCCAAAGTAAGTAATTCCATTTTTTATATAATTCTCACCTGTGGTATTTCCTTTTCATGACCCTTAAATTCCGGTTTCGGCAGGGACATTGCCGAACAACGACAATTGGGTGCCTGACATTTATCCCGACTGCACATTTCCGCCTGTTTCAGTTCCAATGCTTGTGGTCGACGCGATGCTGCGCAAACAGTTTGCAAAATCGCAAAGAGTAGTAGTAGCTTGAGTTTCTCCATTGTCACTTCGTAAACTGAAATATTTCCAGCAGTAGGCACTTCTATTTATTCTTTGTTCAAAAATCTTATTCTACTTCCGATTTCATGAAATTATTTCGTTTATCTTATCTCCATCATCAATAATAATAATTGTGTTCAATAATGTTAAATTAATGAAAACATTTCCAACTTCATTACTCTATGTGCTGGAAGTGATTCATTCCGATTCGATGTACACACAATGGTCCATTCAATCAATAAATTGTAGGGAAATATTTTTTGATTTACTGGAAAATTCGGAATTCTTCTATTTCTGTAGATGTCAATTCGCTTTTAAGATATAATTGAGATATTGAGATACATATCCAAAATTTGTGTGCGTAGTCACGGAACACTGTGCATGAGGGAACAGGAACACTTTGCGTGAGGGGAAGATGACAACAAACACATGTAAAAACTCGTCATCTAAAAAATTATTTTAAAAATCTACGCCTATAAAAATATTTTTAAAAATCTACGCCTATAAAAATATTTTTAAAAATCTACGCCTATAAAAATATTTTTAAAAATCTACGCCTATAAAAATATTTTTAAAAATCTACGCCTAGATAGACCTTGGAAAAAATTATTTTCAAAATCTACGCCTAGATAGGCCTTGGAAAAATTATTTTAATAAATTTACGCCTAATTAGTCCTCAACAAAATTATCTTAAAAATTTATGCATAGATAGACCTTGGAAAAAAATTATTTTAAAATGCTTCACTGTTCGTGAAAAAAATATTCTTTAAAAAAATGTTGGCCTTTTTGGTTCTTAAAAATAATATTTAAAAAATCTACGCCCTATTGTCCATGGAAAAACTATTCTTTTCAAAATCTAGGCTTTATTGGTCGGAAAAAATTTTCTTTTAAAAAATCTACGCCTATTGGTCCTAAAAGATCACGCCTAATTACTAAAATTGTTCTAAAAATTCACGCATAGATGGATATTCTTTGAAAACCAATGCTTTTTCAAGCAAAAATTTTTCTTTTAGAAAATGTTAGCCTTTTTTGTTCTTAAAAAACCTACGCCTTATTGTTCGTGGAAAACTATTATTTTAAAAATCTAGGATTTATTGGCCGCGAAAAAATTTTCTTTTATAAAATCGTGGAAAAATAATTCTTTAAAAAAATCTACGTCTTTTTGGCCCCTCAAAAAAATATCTCCTAAAAATCTACGCCTTGTTGGTACTTCAAGAAAATCTTTTTTAAAAAATCTACTCATTTTTGGTCGTTCAGAATAGTTCTTTATCTGATATTTTGACCAACATTTTAGAATAGCCCCCATATCTCCATTATTCGGAAATTGGGTCTAACTTTGGGTGCAAGATCTACTGAAAGATTTTCGACATTTTAAATGCCAGCCGAATTCTGCATAATTAGCAATTTATTCGAAATTTATTTGTGTTTGTAGAAATAAGATTTTCTGAGCAAGGATCGATCGAATCGAATGCAAAAAGTGTCCAAAATCCATAGAATATCTAATAAATGAGGCTAGGGTTATATTACGAATCTTGGGCCAACATTGATAATTTTTTGTAGGAAGCTAGAAGAGTTGCTCAAAATCATCAGAATGCGAAAATAGTAGATAGACCTAGACCGATAGATCCTATTTTAAAAATATCTTAGGAGTAGTGGTAATGTATGTGCAAAATGTCAATGCTCTATTAAATATTGGGTCAAGATAGATTTTTTTAGTGACTCAGGACACTTTATAGTAGAGGGTAGAAAAAGGCAAAGTTATTTTTAGTCACACAATTAACACTACTTCTAAAATTAAATAATATTTTCTAAAAATAGTATTATTTCTCTTCAAAACTGAAGAATCGAAATATTTAAAAATAAAAATGGCGTCAATGTGGTAGCGTGGCCGAGCGGTCTAAGGCGCTGGTTTAAGGCACCAGTCTCTTCGGAGGCGAGGGTTCGAATCCCTCCGCTGCCAAGATGATTTTTTAAAGTTTTCAACATTGAATAAAGTGTAATATGTAGCTGGAGGAAATATTAGTCTTAATCTCCATAGATCGAGTTTAAATCGCATATAACAACGATCAAGGAGCTGCCAAAAATAAACGATAATAAAAACCAGTGAGCGGAGCAGTATAGTCGAACGGGGCCGACCATATGATATCCTACACAACTTTCACGAAAATCTATCTTTTTATGGTTCTATATTCAGAGCTTGAGCAGTATTTTGCGATATTTGAAACCTCTTGACTGACTAGATGTCAACCAAATAATTCTAATATTCAGCAGGCTGTACTTGTCAGGTTCTCTTTACCGTGGGTTATGTTGTGATGTTGGGCTTTCAATTGTGACTTGTAGATCGACTAAAAAAACACAACACACAAAAAGTTAAGTTTTCGGTCCACTTCATCCCAAAACTATTATCTGATCATCACCGAAAATTATAGGCATTGTCCTTGACCATAACTGGAATCTCATGGAAAATTTTAAAGCTATCAGCGCTATATTTCCGCCCTCTAGTGTGGTAATGGGTTACTAAATAATATCTCAGTACGTAAGCACCCGTAAATATTTAAGTGTAACTCTAACATCTGAGTACATACGACCATAATTCAATTTAAAGGTAAACCACTCCTCTTGAACATACTATCAACTTCTCGGTTCTAGGTCTTTTAGGGGCAAATATATACCGCATAGAATACAAACTTTGTCATTTTTCACAAAAAAGTCAGGGTCCATTTGACCCGCTAAATATTGACCGATCTTCATTAAAATAGGCATGCTTATTCTTTGGCTCGATCCCCTTCTCCATGTAAAATTTCGCGATGTTCGGGCCATAATTGCGGGCTCTGGATCGACCAGAAAAACGGACAAAAACTAAGTATTTGGTCCATTTCATCCCCTAAATATTCCGATCTTTATCGAAACCAATAGGGGTCTTCATTGGCCAGAACCCATCCTACATGCAAAATTTCGTGAAGATTGGTCCATAACTGTGGCCTGTATCGTGTTTACAAATTATAATGGACGGACGGACGGACACACATGTCTAGATCGACTCAGCTAGTCGAGATATGACGATCTGTATACATAAAGGTGGGTCTAGAACCAATATTTTGCGGCGTTACAAACTCTTGGGACTGCACAAAGCTATAGAAATAAGCTGTAGAAATTTCCAATTTGTAATCTAATACGGCATTTACATTAGAACTTTTTACCGGGTTAACCTACTTTATGAGGATTTATTTGGCATATATTCAAAGGAATTGAAAATTTAAACCCACTGAGTTAACCAAATCCGGTTAAATGTAAACGACCTTTAACGTTCTCCTAAAATCTACTGCATAGGCTATTTCTTATAAATCTTCGGTTTAAGTCGGCTGAGCAACGACAAAAAATATTTCTATGTCTTCTCCACATGCCATGCTTATACGGCTATATGGCGAGTTGTCCTGTGAAAATACCGATTCCAACACCGATTTCCGATCTTTACTTAATGTTAATTCTTTCTTTTCTCATTTGGATCCACACATTTTATCAATTAATAAATTTCAAAAAGTTTTTGTATATACACGAGTTCATAATAACTGTGGCCCACTGTAATGTGTTATCGTAGTGGCAAAATGTAAAAGCTTGTTTCCAAGCTTGCCGGAGCGGTAGCGTGGCCGAGCGGTCTAAGGCGCTGGTTTAAGGCACCAGTCTCTTCGGAGGCGTGGGTTCGAATCCCACCGCTGCCAAGTGATTTTTTAAGTTAAGTTAATGCAATGATATAAGTCGTGTGTTGTCGAACCGGAATCACGTTATGTACAAAGTAGGGAGGAGAACAAAAGCGCATTAACATATAATATGTATCTGAATTGCTTGCCGCCTCATTCAGTCAAAATATGATGTATGGAAATAATTTCTATTTGTGATTGACCTTGACCTAAGAAGTAATTTAATGATAAGCTTTTATAAACCAAACCAGAAATCAGTGACACAGTGTGCCAAATTCCGTCAAGTTTTAAAATCGAAACAGATACTAATGGGCCCCTTAACCCATTTTTCTTTAGAATATGTATATTTGTCATTTGGTTTATAGAACTCGTTTCGTCTCTAGAGATATACTTGCATTTGGGTTAATATATTCAATGTGTAGGTTATTTAAAAATAATAATTTCCTAATGGATGTTTAAATATTAATGCTTGTATAATAACAAATACATTTGAGAAAAAAAAAAAAAAAATAAAAAACGTTTTATTAATATCCGCTAGATATTTTAATTCTTCTTTTTTAGAAAATGACGTGGCATTTAAATTATACAAATTTCGAATCATGTGGGTAGCGTGGCCGAGCGGTCTAAGGCGCTGGTTTAAGGCACCAGTCTCTTCGGAGGCGTGGGTTCGAATCCCACCGCTGCCAAGTGTTTTTTGTAATAAAATATGTGAAACAAAGTTCGTGGTAGTAGAGTGTATGTTTTGTGTATGATGCTTTGTTTATGTTTTGATGAATTACCTTTAAAAAATTGTTGTCTGTCCAGAAAATTGCTAAAATGACGCTCGTATAATGGACATTTGAATTTAGACCCATCTATATATCTTCTCGGATATATGTTCAAATCAGATAGACGTGCAAGATAGTGTTAGAGCTATAAACATTTTTCAGTTTTCATATAAAATCCCAATCCACATTTTCACACAGAATCCCTCGATAGCAATCCATAAAAATCAACCTGGCAGCGGTGGGATTCGAACCCACGCCTCCGAAGAGACTGGTGCCTTAAACCAGCGCCTTAGACCGCTCGGCCACGCTACCCTATCAAATTGTGAATTTGGAATTTAATTTTCGTCTTGGAAATTTTATTCATTTGTACAGTACTACAGTCCAAATGTGTAAATCCTCGATCTTACAAAATACTATATTAATTGTATCATTTTTTAACACCTATATGTTACAATCAGCATCGAACAATACGTAGATAGAATTTTGAAATAGTACAGTCACTTCTAGAAGGGTATAATATCTCTCCGAAATAGCCTT